TAAACATTTGATTTGTTAGTTTGTAATAAGCTTTCTTATAAATACAAACGAAGTTCCCTGTTTTCGGGAAATCAAAGTTTTCACCCTACAAGGGTTTGTTGTTAAGGTTATGAATCCCCTCTCTCTCTCTTTCTTTTTTTATTAAAATATGATGGGGATTATTTTATTATTTTTGTTTTCTCTCTCTCTTTATCATGATGTACCAAGAGGATAGTTGAAATGATTGATGATGATTATTTTATTATTTTTGTTTTTTATTATTTTGGTTGTTTGTATTGGGAGGTTGTTAAAGTTACAGGTTGATTGTTAAGGTTACGGGTTGATTGTTAAGGTTAAGGGTTTATTGTTAAGGTTATGAATCTTCTCTCTCTCTTTCTTTTTTATTAAAATATGATGTGGATTATTTTATTATTTTTATTTTCTCTCTCTCTTTATCATGGTGTACCAAAAGGATAGTTGAAATGATTAATGAGGATTATTATTATTTTTTATTAACCTTAACAATTAAACCCGTAACCTTAACAATTAAACATGAAACCTTAACAATTAAACCCGTAACCTTAACAATAAATCCGTAACCTACACAACAAATCCACAACCTTAACAACAAACCCTTAACCTTAACAACCAACCCGTAACCTTAACAATCAACCCGTAACTTTAACAACCTCCCAATACAAACAACCAAAATAATAAAAAACGAAAATAATAAAATAATCCTCATCAATCATTTCAACTATCCTCTTGGTACATCATGATAAAGAGAGAGAGAAAACAAAAATAATAAAATAATCCCCATCATATTTTAATAAAAAAAGAAAGAGAGAGAGAGAGGATTCATAACCTTAACAACAAACCCTTAACCTTAACAACCAACCCGTAACCTTAACAATCAACCCGTAACTTTAACAACCTCCCAATACAAACAACCAAAATAATAAAAAACGAAAATAATAAAATAATCCTCATCAATCATTTCAACTATCCTCTTGGTACATCATGATAAAGAGAGAGAGAAAACAAAAATAATAAAATAATCCCCATCATATTTTAATAAAAAAAGAAAGAGAGAGAGAGAGGATTCACAACCTTAACAACAAACCCTTAACCTTAACAACCAACCCGTAACCTTAACAATCAAATCCACAACCTTAACAACAAACCCTTAACCTTAACAACCAACCCGTAACCTTAACAATCAACCCGTAACTTTAACAACCTCCCAATACAAACAACCAAAATAATAAAAAACGAAAATAATAAAATAATCATCATCAATCATTTCAACTATCCTCTTGGTACATCATGATAAAGAGAGAGAGAAAACAAAAATAATAAAATAATCCCCATCATATTTTAATAAAAAAAGAAAGAGAGAGAGAGAGGATTCATAACCTTAACAACAAACCCTTAACCTTAACAACCAACCCGTAACCTTAACAATCAACCCGTAACTTTAACAACCTTCCAATACAAACAACCAAAATAATAAAAAACAAAAATAATAAAATAATCCTCATCAATCATTTCAACTATCCTCTTGGTACATCATGATAAAGAGAGAGAGAAAATAAAAATAATAAAATAATCCCCATCATATTTTAATAAAAAATAAAGAGAAAGAGAGAGGATTCATAACCTTAACAACAAACCCTTAACCTTAACAACCAACCTGTAACCTTAACAATCAACCCGTAACTTTAACAACCTCCCAATACAAACAATCAAAATAATAAAAAATAAAAATAATAAAATAATCCTCATTAATCATTTCAACTATCCTCTTGGTACATCATGATAAAGAGAGAGAGAAAACAAAAATAATAAAATAATCCCCATCATATTTTAATAAAAAAAGAAAGAGAGAGAGAGAGGATTCATAACCTTAACAACAAACCCTTAACCTTAACAACCAACCCGTAACCTTAACAATCAACCCGTAACTTTAACAACCTCCCAATACAAACAACCAAAATAATAAAAAACAGAGAGAGAGAGAAAAATAATAAAATAATCCTCATCATATTTTAATAAAAAAAGAAAGAGAGAGAGAAGGGTATTATGGTCTTCACATGTTTTAATGTCTTGGGTTTTGTGTTTTGGGGGCTCAAAGAACACAATCTTTATTTTTAGGGGTAAAACACCCATGGACCAAGTCTTGGGGGTGGGAAGCACGTTCACTTGGCTTTTGGGGGCTGGAAGCATTTTTCCCAAAAATTTATCCCACAGATTATCCCAGTTCCAGTTTTAAGTTCTATGTGACTAACCCCCCTTAGTGGGATATTCTAGTGCGATGAATATGAATAATTTTGTGAAGTGAGATATTTTGATAAAATAAAGTGGGATAAATTTTTATAATCATAAAGTATATATTTATGCATTTTGAGGATATAAATACTATTTATATATTTTAAACTTTTTATTATTGATTGATAATTGTTTATGAGAATGTTATTTACTTTAAAATACATTTTGGTTAGACTATAAGGTATTGACAATTATTATTATAATATATATTGTAGCATCTTTATTTTTAATTATTATTATAATACAAGTCTAACAAAAGTTTTA